AGATGATGGGGGGGGGGGGCGGTGTGGGAGGAAAAACAAAAACTAGTGCAGCTTATCGGGGATCTCGTGAACACCCTCCCAGTGTGTGGCCAGGGAGACGGGCAGCAGTGCAGGTACTGTGTGTGTGGCTGGGAATGCAGGCGATGACGGGTTGTTTCTGCTCCCCCCTCCACCCTGTAGGGTTCTGCAGACAAGGTGGCTGCCTCATCCACCTACAGGTCAGCCTGGCCGTGTTAGTAAGTACAATACAATGTCATTGTAGTCTACCTTCCCAACCTTTTTTCAGTCACGGCATGCTTTAAAAGTATAAAAAATCTCAAGGCACCACAGTCTAAAATGTAATGGATTGTAAGGGGGCACAGCATGCAAAAACACACAAAAATGGGGTTCCCCCTTCACATCAAAGTCCCCCCTTCATTTCAGGATTCCCCCCATTACATCAGAGTCACCCTTTCATTAGAATCACCCACTTTCACATCAGGAGCTCCTCTTTATTATCAGAGCACCCCCTTATCAGATATAACTTTTACATAAGGAGCCCCCTTCACATCATACAGGGCTATTCACTGAAGGGTGGAGAGTTTGGGGAAGTCAGGAGAAGTGAACAATCTAGGACAACATCGCTGAACCGGAAAAATTCTCCAATTCAGCTCACTTTCCAGTTCAGCGATGTTGTCCTAGATTGGTCACTTCTCCTGCCTTCTCCAGACCCTTCACCCTTTTGTGAATAACCTTGATAGTGTTCAGTCCCCCCTTCACACCACACTCCTACTGTTACAAAGTTTTGTGGCACCCTCGTTGAGAAAGGCAGGTCTAGTATTTATGAATTTGATGACACAGTACCTTTATAAGTAAGGTAGCCATATGCAAGGTTGGCAAAAGCCTCAGCAAGTCTCCAGTGGAAGTCCCCATGGATAATTCTGCACAGTGCCACACATCTAATTAACTCCTTGTGAGCTGTAGGGAACTATCAAATAAAGCTGTTAGTGTTAAATGTAAAGCAATAGGAATCAAGAAACAAAATCAGACATCAATAAAGAAATTTCATGAGAGAAAAATGAAAGCTGTCTTTGCTGATCTTTTCTGGAATATAAAAGTGCCTGGCTGACAATCGGCCCGGGCCAAATGTATATCCAGAACCGCTTGTTTATAGCATAGATACAGCACTAATGATGACCAACAAGCCTGAAACAGCTGTATGCAGTTCGGAATAATAGGCTCTGTAATATAAGGCTGTATATATGCCACATGGTCCTGAATGTACCGTTGGCCCCGTGTAATAAAGGAATGCCTTGCATGGCTCTGCCCACCATCCTAGTCCTTATTTTTTTTTAAATGTGGGATTTATTTAATTTATTTACAGGTATTTTTATAGTGCCGACAATTCACGCGCTTTACATAGTTGCACATTGACATCAGTCCCTGCCATCAAGGTCCCTATATCACATACACACACGGCTGATTTAGACTGAGCCAATTAACCTCCCACCATGTCTTTGAAGTATGGGTGGAATATTGGAACTGAAGAGGTAGCAATTGTAAATTAGGGCTGCAGCTAACAATTATTTTCATAATCGATTAGTTGCGCAAATATTTTGTTCAATTAATCGATTGGTTCTATTAAAAAAAAAAAAAATTCAGGAGATGCAGGAGCTATTTTCAGGTGGATGTCATGTGGTTTTGGTCCCAATACATATCTCTATGCAGGGAGAAACGCACATTTTTAAATGCTAAGACATGCAAAAACCATGTGAACCTAACTAAAAACAATCTAATTTCCAACTACCTCCTCATGTATCACTTGCCCCTCCCTTTTAGATTGTAAGCTCTCAGGGGCAGGGCCCTCCTTACTATCTTGTCTTGAATTGTATTGTGATTGTAATGTCTTCCTTATATTGTAAAGCGCTGCGCAAACTGTTGGCGCTATATAAATCCTGTATAATAATAATAATAACTATGGGACATATAACTGGAAAATTGTATTTGCCCATCTCTGGGTAAACAAAAAAACTACCCTTGAAGTGGGGCTACCCCCCGCAATGCAATGCAAGGGTTAAGTGCCTAGGGCAGCGGCGCAAGGGCCCACTATTTTTCGTCTGGAGATCTACTTTTCAAATGACGAGCTCATTGAGATCTACCAACGAAAAAACACCTGCATTCAGGGGCGGGAGGGGGCGTAGGCTGCGCAGGCAGGCCCCTCGCCCACAGTGCGATCGCCTGCATTAGTGCCTGTGTTCCAGTCCAGTGCGAGCCGCAAAAATGCTGCGAGCACTATTTTTGCAGATCGCACTGGACCGCAATGAAGGCACTAATGTGCCTGCGTTCTGAGTGTGGGCGATCGCAATGTGGGCGATGCCATTGACTTCAATACAGCTCCACACCCCCTCCCGCACCTGAACGCAGGGAGTCGGCCGGCTTACATTCCAGTGCACCCTACAGGTCCCGGCGTCCTGTCCTCCCGTGGTGCTCGTGTGGCCGACGTTGCACATGGGGTGTCCTGCACCTTTCCATCTGCAGCGTCTGACACATTCAGACGGCAGCCGCACGAGCACCACGGGAGTATAGCCGTAGCCAGCTCCTTTTGCGCCTGAGGCAAGAAAAAAAACAAAGTTTTTTTAAATTTATTTTTTACTATTTTTTATTTTATTTTCATTATTTTTTTTTATTTTCTTATTTTTTTTTATTTTTTTAAATTTTCTTATTTTTTTTTACTCTTGGGGGGGCTTCGGGGAAATATTAGGGGTCTAAAAAGCCCCTTGATATTTCCCTTTTAAAATAGAAAAAGAAATTGAGGACACATAGTACTCAATCTTTTTTTCTGCAGCCTCTATTCTAAATGAATGGAAAGCACAGAGGCTTCCCATTCATTAAGAAAATATTTTACTATCAAGCAGTTTCTGAATGGGGAGGAGCCTCTGTACAGAGTGCCAGATCCTGGCCGAGCGTCTCTCTCTCCTCACCGCTCTTCATTAGTTCTGTGACAGCGGCTCCGTCCTCCGCCCTCCCCCGCCCCCGGTACCTTCACTTCTTCTCGGATCCCCGCTGGGGAGAGCAGCGGGGATCCAGAGAAGCGGCGGGAGGAGAGGACAGTGCGATCTACCAGTGATCGCTACGCGATCGACTGGTAGATCGTGATCGACCTTGTGGGCACCCCTGGCCTAGGGGATAGGAAAACACTTTTTTTTACTTACCCAATCCCTACTGCTGGCAACTCCCTCTGGGCTGTTAGGCCGGTCCACGCAGCCCCGCTCCCCTGGACTTAGGGAGTCTAAAGCTGGCCATACATCTATCGATTATCATTAGATTTTTTCCGTGCCCTCATCAAGCCGTCGTTTGATTTTCGCTCGAATACCCCATCATGCACAGACCGATCGACAGAATGGATTTTCGTTTGCACATGTGCAGTGTTCATGCTGCGATTTTTTTCACACTAATTCATCGATTTTTTCAATTTTTGTTCGATTCAAAAAAAGTTTTGCAGCCTGACTGGCTGAGGAAATTCAGCCAGGAGTACGGTAAAAAAAATCATCGGGTTACCATCAACTGATCGATTATTGTTCGAAAGACCATTCGTTTTAATTGCTTCTAATACAGATTCCATAGACTTGCATTAGACGTGAGTACACAGAGGGACATTCTACCAGCCTGAGCGGAGGGAAGAGAGGTGAGCACTGACCACCAGGGGAGTGGGGATCAGGCAAGTAAAAGTGCTTTACTCCGATCCCCTAGGCATAAATGAGCACTTAACCCTTGCAGTGCAGGGGTAATCCTACTGCAAGGGTAGTTTTTTATTTGCTCAGAGATGGGCTTTAAGGGCTCATTTACATGGGAATTGTCCAGCACGTACAGCTCCGTGCTGTGTGCACGGCCGTATCGCTCCCCTACGCTCACTTCAAGTGCAGGTCCGTATTGGTGCGTGTGTCCCGGCTCGGACGCAGACGGGATCCATCCTGTCAGCGTATTAGTATGGACACCCGCACCCACACAGACGTGCAGGGCGGGTGAGCGTAGGGCAGCATACGGCCGCGTGGCCCCATAGAGAAGGACAGGGGCTGCATGCTAATCACACACAGCACCTGTCCTTCCCGAGAGCTGCCCGATACGGCCACGCACGCAGCACGGAGCTGTATGTGCTGGACAATTCCCAAGTAAATGAGCCCTAAGGCTTAACTCCTTGTCTTACCAAGTAATACATTTGTGTGAAGATGAAAACCCTACTGCACAGTTTGAAGCTGGATGCTTTATGCATCAATCCCCCAGTCTACATCCTGCAGAGAAATTTACACACAGGTACTCTTTATGACTTGTCTATGACAAATCTGCAACCCCTCTTCAGCTGTGGTGCTTGACCTAACTACAAGCATGCAAAAAGGACCAAAGAAAAATCTGCCCTTGCCACCACTAGTAGGTGCCAACGTAGGCTAAATTCCCAGCAGAAAAGGCCATCATGTAAAGTATAATAGCTCCGTGCTTGTCGTATTGCAGTGCAGTACAATAAAAAGAACTGTCACCCTCTCACCTCATTGTCTCTGATGAACTGCTCCACCCTCATTTCAGCTTTTGTTAATTTATCATTGGGGAATGACTGTCGCTTTGGTAGACGAGTGTCATTTCTGTGTGTGTCCTGGGATCGTTCAGTATAGTCCAATACACTGCCTTCTGTCTCCTCTTTATCCAGAACAGTGCTGGCTGTCTTTGGAGTTCTGTAGAAGAGAAATAATACTAAAGACTCAATAAAAGACATGCAGGTCATGTATTATTATTACTGCCATCCAACATGTATCATGAGATATGCTGTGGCCCCATATGTCGGTGTACTGTTTTCTAGAACCTGTGCATTCTAAATTGTTCTGCCAAAATATCAATATATACTGTAGATGCTTGATGGCCAAAGGTATGTGGACACCACTTCAAATTATGGAGTAGAGGTGCACAAAGCCAAGCCGGGGCCATAAAGATATGGTTTGGTGTGGAGGAACTCAGGTGTCTCGGACACAGCCCTGCCCACAACCCTATTGAACACCTTTGGGATCTCAACTGGCACACCGGTTGGGAGCCAGGTCTTCTCAGTTCCTGGCCCCACACATGCTTTTTAGGCCGATTGGGCACAAATTCTCATACACACACTCCAAAATCTTGTGACAGGGGGACGGGGGGGGACACGACTCCATGTTAATACCCAGAGTTTTGGAATGGGATGTCCAACAAGCTTATGTAGGTGTGATGGTCAGGTGCCCACAAATAAACACCTGACCATCACACCTACATAAGCTTGTTGGATTTTGAAATGGTCACACTTTTTGTTGTGTGTTTGAATCCCCACATTTTTTGTTACTTCAATCAAGTAATATTAAACTTTCAAACTTTTTTTTTTTTAATTCATATCAATTATACATCACCCAGCAAAGTATTCTTTACTTTTACACCCAAACGCTTTACTCAAAAAACTTGCTCTCAGCTCAGCTTCCCTCAACTTCCTGTCCAGTACAAGATCACAAGGCAGCAGAAGTGTACAGAAGCTGTCCATCTACTAGCTTGGATAAAGGAGCAGGGGGCAGGGAAGTGCCTTCCTTTGCTGTATCTGTGTGTTTGTGGAAACACGCACAGCTTCTAGCACACATAAGTGTGGCTCCTTAGGAACCTGCAAGGTAAAGGAGCCACCCTCAGGGCCGGTTCACACCATAAACATTGCGTTCCAGAGCGGTCAGCCTCTGGAACGCACTGTATCACATTCCAGCCAGCTTCCTGCGTTCAGGGGTGGGAAGGGGTACGGCGGTGCATTAAAGTCAATGGCACTGCAGCCACGCCCCCCACCTGCAGTGTGATCGCCCGCACCAGTGAGATCTTGAAAAATAGTGCTGCGCCCCTGAACGCAGGTAGCCGGATGGAATACAGTGCGTTCAAAGGGCTGACCGCTCTGGAACGCACTGTTTATGGTGTGAACCGGCCCTCAATCAGGATATCAGGACCAGGGCTCAGGGACCAGCTGATTCTGTAGGAAACTAAAACTTTTAAACGTCAAGGAGCCGCATCCATTGTAAGTGATTTCATTGCATCTGAAAAAGCTTAAAAACATTGTGACTTTAATATCACTTTACGAATCTTACAGGCTCACAGGTTACACAGCAATCAACAAACTTACGTGCAATTGGATCCAGGATCGGCATATGTGGAGTCAGTGGGGATATGGATGGGGACTGGCAACATTGTTCCAGGGAAGCTCTGCTACCTGTAACAAAAATGTCTGCTGCATAAGGTTACTTTTTTCCACAATTGGACTTTTCAGGTAATGCCGTCATGTTAAGTCAACAACCAATGTTTAGGGGCCGAGACAGGGGTGTCTCTGGACCTTTGGCTGCCTAAAGGTGCCCATACACTACTCGATTCTCGTACGAGAATCGCGGGAAAATCCGCAATCGTACGAGAATCGAGCAGTGTGAACGAAGATGTGCGACCGTTTCTACTGTACGGTCGCACGTCTTTTGTCTAAGGAGCACGCTAGAAAAGCAGCCGAAAATCGTACGATTTTCGGCTGGTTTGAACGGTGCTTGGGAGACAAATGCCGAACGGGCCGGTGTGCGCACGCGCACACTGCCCGTTCAGCATTGCGGTCATCGGAAGCCCGCCCCTCAGGGGGGCGGGCTTGCGATGATCGAGAGTACGATCTGCCTGTCCAAGATGGGCAGATCGTACGTTTTTTTAATCACTTTACAACCATCGCAAGACTAAGGTCTTGCAATGGTTGTACAGTGTATGGCCACCTTAAGGCTGGTGGTGCAGGTGGTGCAAGTTGCAGGTGGGGAGGGAAGTTGGGACACATTGCAAAGGTTAGGGCATATGCAGGGCCGGATTTACTCTCCCTGCCGCCCCAAGGTCGGGTTCCGCAATACGCCCCCCCCATTCCCATCAATGGAGAATGGCAACCAGATGGCAGGGCGGTGGGGTTAGTTTTTTTTTTTACTGTTTCTTTCTTTTTTTAAAACTTTTTTATCACTTTTTATGACCCTGTCACCTCCAATGCAGGAGTTCTAGGACAGCACTGTGCTGGAACTCCGGTGACAGGTGAGAGAGGAAGAGCACAGCTCTCCCTTCTCACTGTCTACACGGAGCGGCAGGGTTAGTTTTAACACGGCCGCTCTGCTCACTGCAGTGAGGAGAGACTCGGCTGCGGAGCCCTGAGGACGGAGCCAGCGGGGGGAGGCTGCAGAACAATCTGCAGGGGGGGAGGCTGCAGATTGTTTACATGTGATCTCGGTGACATACCTGAGATGACATGTAAACGTACAATCGGCTTCCTCACTCTACATTTAGTCCTGCTTGTGCAATGCAGAGAGGGCAACTTACCGCCCTGCGCCCTCAACTTCCCCACAAGGACACCGCTGCCGCCCCTCTGCGCCCTGCCGCCTCGAGGCCGGGCCTCGGTGGCCTTGTGGGGAATCCGGGTCTGGGCATATGCCGACGGGCATTTGTTCACATCAGACAGGTTCTGTGTACCCACACAAGTCTAGGGGATGAATTCTGAATGATCTCAGAAGCCCGTTGACACAGGCCCTTAGAGTGGGTATGATAGGGGTACTTTGTAGCTAATAAAAGGGGGGAATGATGGGACCACATGGTGGAGGACAGAAAAGGACATCATGGGGGCACACTAGAGAAGACAGAGTGGAACATGATAGGGGCACATTGTGGAGGGCAGAATAGGGCACCATGGAGGCATACTGCAGAGAACACAGTGGGGCAAAATGAGGGCACATTGTGGGTAACATATTGTGAAGGACAGTGTGGGGAACAATGTGGGCATCATAGAAGGACATTGAAGAATACAGAGTGGGGCATCATGGAGCACATTGCGGAGGACAGAACAGGACATGATGGGAGGACATTGTGGAGGACAGAGCAGGGCATGATGGGAGGACATTGTGGAGGACAGAACAGGGCATGATGGGAGGACATTGAGGAGGACACAACAGGACATGATGGGAGGACATTGCGGAGGACAGAACAGGACATGGTGGGAAGACATTGAGGAGGACACAACAGGACATGATGGGAGGACATTGAGGAGGACACAACAGGACATGATGGGAGGACATTGTGGAGGACAGAACAGGACATGATGGGAGGACATTGCGGAGGACAGAACAGGACATGATGGGAGGACATTGAGGAGGACAGAACAGGACATGATGGGAGGACATTGCGGAGGACATTGTGGAGGACAGAACAGGACATGATGGGAGGACATTGTGGAGGACACAACAGGACATGATGGGAGGACATTGTGGAGGACACAACAGGACATGATGGGAGGACATTGAGGAGGACAGAACAGGACATTATGGGAGGACATTGCGGAGGACAGGACATGATGGGAGGACATTGTGGAGGACAGAACAGGGCATGATGGGAGGACATTGCGGAGGACACAACAGGACATGATGGGAGGACATTGCAGAGGACAGAACAGGGCATGATGGGAGGACATTGTGGAGGACAGAACAGGGCATGATGGGAGGACATTGTGGAGGATAGAACAGGACATGATGGGAGGACATTGTGGAGGATAGAACAGGACATGATGGGAGGACATTGCGGAGGACAGAACAGGACATGATGGGAGGACATTGTGGAGGACAGAACAGGGCATGATGGGAGGACATTGTGGAGGACAGAACAGGACATGATGGGAGGACAGAACAGGGCATGATGGGAGCACATTGCACAGGAAACAGAGGGGCATGATGGGAGGACATTGTGCAGGCCACAAAGTGAAGCATTATGGGAGGTACTGTAAAACACAGGAACAGTGCCCAGTAACATGAATGTTTACTTGTGCGGAGTTCTTCTTTATGGTTACACATACACAAGCACTGGTGGCAACCATGAAACCATTCATACACCACCCTGGAAAGCACAGCACCTGCATGTATTGAGGGACAATGATCTGCAATGCCGGGGAGCATGTTACAGGTACTCTTTAAAAGGCTGCATTTCAGCACTCATCAGTCTGAACCTTGTAGGCTGCCCATACACTATACAATAATATTGTACAATCTTCTTTAGATTTGCCATCACTCTGCAGTATGACAACAAATGTAAACAATCCATGCCATTGATATCAGACCAGGCGGCCATGGCAATAGTTGGTGGCAGATCTATTGGAGATTGTATAGTGTATGGTCAGCCCTGGGCTGGTGAGTCAAATGAAAGTGACACAATACAATGCAGTATAAGATGTGTACAGCACACTATATGAAGGGAGGTGACACTGCTCACCCGATGAGAAATACACAGAAGGAAGGAGCTTATAGATATACTGCATATAAGGGGAAATATCTGGAACAGTGTTTATACTTGTGTACAGGAGCTGTCTTTACTTGTCACCGGCTGCACCACACATGGTATGTCATAAACTGTCAGAAAACCTGTGTCCCTCCAATCACATGCTGGGACCTGTAGTTCCACAGGCTGCCTGTGTGTAATCACTGGGGGATGCTGTGCTGGATTTGTAGTCACCTCCTCAGTCCGCTGCCTTCTCCTCCTCTGTGATCAGCTTCTCCTGGATTCCCCCAGCACGTCCCATCCACATCGGCTGCTCTGTGTATCCGGGACAGCATTCCGTTACCATGGTGATAGAACGCGTCCACAATAGCTGTCATGGCAACCACGGGCAGGGCTCTGGCGGCGCTATGCATTGTGGGAGGAAGGACAACTTTCTTTCCCTACTTATGGTAAAACGAGAACTTGTTTAGAATCCTTTCTATGAGAGGAAGGCAGCCTGTGCCATCCTGGACACACAGATGGGAATTCATCAAAACAGATGCAGACAAAACCTGCTGTAATTGTCCAGGGCAACCAATCAAATTCTATCTTCAGTTTGTTCAGTTAAACTTTGAAATGAGAGGGAAAAGCTGACTGGTTACCATAGACAACTGCTCTAGATTTTGTCTGCTCCAGTTTTGATAAATTCCCCCCATAGTAAAGTCACTGTGAGCTTTATCCCTCCACTTGTTTAACACAATCTGATCCCACAATCTCTGTACAATTACCATTTAGCTGAACAACTATGTAGTACAAGGGCCGAACTTTGTGAAAATTCCAGACTGCGCGTCACGTGCAGTGACGCAGCCTCAGAATTCTATTGTTAGTAGCTGAACGCGCAGGCGCTGAATAGGCTATTAAGTCCAGGCATTTTATTGTACTGGGGGCAGGTGAAGAGGAGTCCAGAAATATTACAGGCGCATGTCTTGTCATATATTAATAATAATTTAAAAAATAAAATAAA